GTCATTCGCTATGGCCGACAAATACAATACATTCACTTTCACTTTTTGGCCTTTTGTTGACTTCATTTTATAAGACACTATAACTTTTCACTTTTTCCTATAATTTAATCTTCATAATTTTTGTATTTTTATGTTTATGGGATGAAAATGTATTTTTATGCTTATGAGACGAATTGTGTATTTTTTATTTCATTATTGTTGTTTTTCTTAACTAGTGAGAATCCCGTGCGATGCACGGGGATTTCGAAACAATTTTTTTTTGCAAAACTTTATTTTTACAATGTATTAGCCCGTTAATCCATTTATAATAATATAAATAACATTTTCACATACATATTTATTGTTTAGTACGAAAAAAATAATTTTACATATTTTAGTTCATGATAATATTCAAATAATATTTATATTTACAAATTTATTGTCGTATAATGTCAATATTATTTATAACATTTATAGAAGTAATATTCATTTTTTATATAATGATAAATATTTAATGTATATTAAGAGCATCTTTAGTGGGAGATTTTGGAGAGGTTTAAAAACACAAACCTATTATAGGTTTACCACTATAAAGAAGAGGTTTGAGGTTTGTGTTTTTCAAACAGGTTTAGGCTATGTTTGGTAAAATTAGCTGATAAGCTAGCTTATAGTTTATATGTAATTTTTGAGCTTATAGCTTATAGCTTATGACTTATAGCTGAAAAGCTAGCTTATATGATAAAAGGTGTTTGGTAAATTAGCTGATAAGCTAGCTGAAATAAAAAATTCAACTAGCTTATTTGAAAAGCTACCTAAAGTAGCTTATGAAATAAGCTCGAACTTTTTAAAAAAGCTCGTCCTACCAAACGAGGCTTATTTCAATACAGGGAGCTTATAAGCTAACCAAATAAGCTATAAGATAGCTTATTTGGCTTACCAAACATACCCAAAAAAATTCAACTAGCTTATTTGAAAGTAGCTTATGAAATAAGCTCGAGCTTTTTAAAAAAGCTCGTCCTACCAAACGAGGCTTATTTTAAACAGGGAGCTTATAAGCTAACCAAATAATCTAAAAACTAGCTTATTTGGCTTACCAAACATACCCTTAAGATTCCAAACCTCACATAAACCTCCAAGTGGACATTAAATAAATACAAAAATAAGAAAAAGATATTAGGAAAGATTAAAATAATAATTTGAAATAAAATAAGTGGAGAACATGAGGGACCATATAAGAGGTTTATTTTTATTGAAGGTTTAGAGTGTAGGAGTAAGATAAAAGATTTTGGGTGATGTGGCGCATTGAAAAATGAAAAAGGAGTTTAAGAGGTTTTGTTGTTAAAGATGCTCTTAATATTATTTATTGATGTGATTAATTTAAAAATATATAAGTAAATCTAATGTTTGTTAAAAATATGATAGATCTCGATATTTTAGGTATAAATATATAATAAATATGTACATATATATGATATGAATATCTTGAGATACAAAATTTTTTTTATGTGATTTATTACCTTAATAATCAACCGAAATTACCTAAATTGCATTTTTAAAACATACCATAAATTGTTTAAATAGTTATCAGAATTAGTAAACAATATTTTTTTGGCGGAAAATAGTTACTATTTAAAAAATAATCAAATCTTTTTATACATATATTGATTTTTCAGAAATTCCATGGCACCACATGTGGCACCATATTATGGTGCCACAATATGATGTGGCACATTATGATTGGTGCCACAACTATCACACATCATGTTGTGGCACCAATCATAATGTGCCACATCATGTTGTGGCACCATAATATGGTGCCACATGTGGTGCCATAGAATTTCTGTTGATTTTTAGGGCCAAATAATTTTTTTTGGGCCCAAAATGAAAAAATAAAAATTAAGCCCAAAATGAAAAAAAATAAAAATTGAAGGCCCATAAAAAGGATTTTAGATTTAACCGTTTAACCGGCAAACTAGACCGTCCAATGCGGTCTGAATTGTGTCCGGTTAAAAAGTAAAATCGGTCCGATTATGAACAAGAAAAAAAATTAACCGTTAAGTTCAATTTGGCCATAGTTTGGACTAAAACCAGACCAATCTAGACCGTGAACACCCCTAAAGAGGGAGGTATTATAATTCCTTTAATTTTGAGTTGTTTGTAAGTTATTCTATTTATATAATAAATTTTCCTATATCTAATTAATATGAAAAATTAAGGATAGGGATATGATGGCTATTAGGGTTACATGTATGGGTTGGTTACGTGACACGTGGCGAATTCTACAACTCCCTTATATGATTTTGTAATTACGATATTTTTTATTAATTTTTTGGGCCAATTGTGCGTTTCTTTATTTGGGTTGAGTCTAATTATTTACTTTTTCAACTTATTTTCCAAATGAATTGATCATTCTACTTTTAGGCAACATTGCCTCATCACTAACTCTCAAATGTGTAGTTTTATAATTTTTTTAAGTTTAATATTTTTTATTTATTGATAGATGTTTCTTTTCTGTCTGGAAAAATATCCCACCGACTTCAAGCATGAATGTAATCGTGGGCTTGGCGATCGTCGGGCCTGAAAACAAGTACCCGAAACCAGCCTGGCTATTCCGGGCTGGATCACCGACCCCGCTGTACGGGACTGGCCCGATTCACATGAAAAAAATTGAACGCCTGACCTGTCTCCAGGGCCACTTCCGGCTTGGCTCGCCGGGTCAAAAAAATTTTACACGAGTCCCGAAACTGGCTCGGTCATACTACGAGCTCGGGTCCAGGCCTGTTAACCACGGGTCGGTTCATGGCTAGGTCCGAGGAGGTTCGGGTCGAACCGGTGAGTCAGGCCGACCCGTGACCATGACTACGTGAATTGCTTTGAATATGAGGAACCACTTTTCTCTTGTCATACCCAAATTCCTATTCATTTGCTGCCTTCCATCTACTTCCTCTCATCTCATGTCAACTTATATACCATAATTTATTTCACTGCAAGTATGTTATCCATTTTGAGAAAAAAAAATGTATCGACTTTAAGATAAAATTGTTGTAGGTCATTATTTCTGAATAATGAGATTATAAAATTTGAACACACTTGGGCAGATATCTCTATCCATTACAAAATACGTTGGGAGTCGTACATGCTGATAACATAGATAATTGGCAGCCTCTTGTGGTAAAACTAACTACACAAGGAAAACAAATAATTTGTAAACCAATTCATAATCGTGGCGGATTTGACAACAAATTGGTCATCACATAAATAATGTTTGACCAATTATCCCTGATTTTAAAAACTAGCGGTCCTACGGGCGTATCATGCACGGAATCAAAAAATTTGTCGTATAATTTGTTTATTTTATCAATAATTTTTAGGTACGTCTGCGAACATAAGTTCTTTCTCGACAGTCTTTTGTTTCCTGAATCTATTTGTATATAATTTGAGAGTACCACTTTCAACCATAAATTCTTTGATATTATGTGCCGGTTGTGCATCGCACCACTAGAAATTCCTAGTATCGATAAATAAGTATCACACTGATGTGTCACTTGCCCAAGATAAAGAGCATAAGAAATTGCAATTAATATTATTAAATAATATTTTTTAATTAGTGAATATTTGTCATCAATTTAAGTTATCTATACTTATATTAAAAGTCATACTATTTACCAAAAATAGTAGCAAGAAAAGTCAACTCACATTTAATGCATACTTTATTTGGAAATTTTTTACTATATGCATTAATTGTTTGCATATACACATTTCCTATTCAGATATGATCAAACAGATTCTTTCCTTAAATAATTTTATTAACTTTTGCAATAATTTTACTTATATATATTATAATTCATATTTGACGATTGTATTTTTTAATTTTTATTTGAGTATATAAAAAACAAATATATTTTTTTTAAATTAATATTTTATTTATCATTTAAGAGATAATGATCACATCATTAAATGATATTCCTCATGACTAGATAATAAATTTAAATACATTAATTATTCTTTAAAATTTTGGCATGTTATTTATTTGTATATCTATACTTATTATATAAGGTATTCTATTTACTAAATTTAGTAGATTGAAAAGTCAACGTAATTAATGCATTGCTATTTCTCTCCAAAATTTTATTTAATTATTTTATTTATTATCTTATATCCCATAAAATTAGTTTAAGAAAAAAATCCCATAACATATGACAAGTAAAAAAAAAAGACGTAAAATCTTTACTAAAATAAAAAGACTTTATTTATTTGTCTTATTCCATATTAACATCGGTTTTGTCAAAACAAATTCCATAAAATCAGTGAAGTCAAAATTTGTACATAAAGTCTATCTATATTTAAAAAAGAAGTCAGATTCAAAATTCTTTATCTAATTCCTTCTTTTTTCTTATCTATTTCCTTATTTTCCTTATCCAATTCCTTTTTATTATCTAATTGTATGAAAATCTGTTCTGATTTTGTTCAATCCTCTAATTGTATTTGTATTATATTC